CCGGAATATGCTAACCGGCGCCAGAATATGCTCACCGGCGTCGGAATATGCTTATCGGCGTCGGAATCTAGTCATCGGGGCCGGAATATGCCTATCGGCGTCGGAATCTGCTCACTGACGGTCATCGGAGTTCGGTCAACGAAGTTCGTTGACCGGTCAACGGTCAACGACCGCCGGATGTTATGGTCTGCATTGTGAGATTTATGGTTTGGTTTCTCGTATTTATGTATGCCTTTTGTGGTTTGCTTTATCGTGTTTGTGGTTTGCATTGAGAAGTTTTTGGTTTGCTTTCAAAAATTTTGTGGTTAATTTGCTTTGCGGGGTTTCTGGTTTGTTTTAATAGATTTTTGGTCTGCATAAGGACGTTTCTGGTTTGTTTTTGTGGTTTGCTTTATCGTGTTTGTGGTTTGCATTATGAGGTTTATGGTGTGTTTTTTAAAATTCGGTGGTTTGCTTTGCGGGATTTCTGGTTTGTTTTAGTAGATTTTTTGTCTGCATTAGGACGTTTCTGGTTTGTTTTTTTGGTTTGCTTTAACGTGTTTGTGGTTTGTATTATGAGGTTTCTGGTGTGCTTTCAAAATATTTGTGGTTTGGTTTGTGGTGTTTCTGGTTTGTTTTAGAGAATTTATGGTATGCATTAGAGGGTTTCTGGTATGCTTTCGAAATAATTGTGGTATGCTTTTGTGATATTTGTGGTATGTTTTATAAGATTTATGGTGTGCACAGTGCATTCCAAGACTTTTGATATGCTTTCAAGTGAACTTGAAACTACCGGAACTTGTAAAAATATGCCAACACTTTCAAAAATTTCAATCAAATAAGGAGAGAAAGAAGATTGATGCTCCAAAAACTCAAAATTGCAGCTTATTAGCTACACAGAGACTATAAAACAAACTAATAAAGTGTAGTAATTGGTTCACTAACATTGGTCAAATATTGAAATTTCCTTGCGGTGGAAGAGTTGTTAATTAATTAATAGTTCCTTGGAAAATTGATGAAATGTTTGACAAATCCAAATACGTTCTTAGTGAATTGAGCCCCGGCCGCCAGCTCTTGCCGAACTTTCCATCCCGGCCGACGACCTCGTCTCCCCGACAACCTTCCTCGAATCCCCAACAACAGAATCAACAGCACCTATAAAAATATCCAGCACACCTGCATGCTAATTTCATCAACATACAATTCCAACATCATCCATTCCCTAAGAAGACCTCGATCGCTCACCATATCTAGATAGATAAAATCTGCAAGATCTCGATCGTCCCATTCCAACAGCTCATCATCAGCTGTGGCCGCCTTTCATCTTCTGTGCCTTCTCCTATTTTGCAGTTTCTTCCATAAAAAAAATCGGCGGAGGAGAGGCACAGAAGGAGAAGCCGTCGGCTTCGGAGGAGAGATTCCGATGGCGGCATCCTGTTAGTAGTGGCAGAGATTCTACGGCGGCGGGTCTAGCAGCGTGGCGGAGGAGTTTGATGGGGTTGTGAAGAGGAAGGGGAGGAGAAGCTGATGGCGACGGAAGAGAAGCTGATGGCGGCGGAGGAGATCGAGGTCCGGTAGGGAAAGAGATATGCTATTGCAACTCCTCGGAAGAAGCGTCGCCTGTGCCGGCGCCGGAGGGAAGAAAACGATCGCCGCATAATACGATAGGGATCTGAAGAATTGAGGATTGAAGGAGAAAGAAAAACACGCTTTTTATTATTTTTTTAATTCTAGTTTTATTAATTATCTTGTAAGTTTACCCTTATACCCTTGTTGTTAGGGTAACAACATAATGGGTGTTGTTATACTATCTTCTCCCCACTCAATTGCCCACCCCACCTTATAATAAGAAGGGTTAATATATTTCTATGGCCTGAACTTTTCACATAATAAACATTTTGGCCAATCTTTTCAATCTATAACATCCTGAACTTTACATCAAAGTAACGAAATTTGCCAAACTCAAAAATTGACGTTATCTTGGACGGTCAAACGCGTGGACTAACAGTCAACACGCTACGTCACTGCCAAATCAGTACTTTTCACTTAAATTTTTTATATTTTCCACCTATTACTATTTATTTTTTACGTTTTGAATCAATAGTAATAAGTGAAAAATATAAATTTTTTTAAGTGAAAGGTGCTGACTTGGCGGTGGTGTGTTGACCGTTAGTCAACGTGTTTGACCTTTTAAGATAACGGTTAATTTTCGAGTTTGGCAAATTTCATTACTATGATATATAGTTCTGGTCATGATGTTATAAATCGAAAAAATTACTCAGGATATTTATCATGTGAAAAGTTCAGGACATACAACTTTTCACATGATAAATTTCCTGAGTAATTTTTTTTTGTTGTGATTGGAAGTTCTTTGTTGTGATTGGAAGTTCCTCCCTTCCACTTACTTGGGGCTTCTTTGGGCGCTTCGCCTCTTGCTTCCAGCAGTTGGAACCCACTTATTAATAGGATACAACTCAGATTGGAAGGTTGGAAAGGGAGTCTTTTGTCTTTCGGTGGCAGGATCGTTCTCACCAAAGCTTGTCTTGCTAGCTTTCCTACCTACATGTGCTCTCTTTTCCTTGTACCCCTTCACGTGATCAAGGCAATCGAGAGAATCCAATGCTCCTTCATCTGGTCCAGGAATAATGATAAAAAAAAATTCCACCTGGTTTCATGGGATCGTTGTAAAAGGTCGAGGGAGTTAGGAGGCTTGGGTATTCCTGATCTTCGCAGACATAACATCGCGTTGATGTCTAAGTGGTGGTGGAAATTCGCTAAGGAAGAGAGCTGGTGGAAGAGGCTTATGAAAGATAAATATCCTAATGAAGACTCTAAATGGTGTCCGGGTAAGCCCTTCAACTCGGCTGGCTGCAGTCCTTGGAGTCAAATTTACAAGGTGAAGGATGAGTTCTGGAAGTACGCCGTCATTAGCCCCGGAATCACTGGTGAAGGGATTTCCTTTTGGAAGGACCGGTGGATTAAAGAAATCACCCTTGCTGACTGCTTTCCTCGAGTTGTAGCTGCTGTTGTGAACCCCCGCGCAAGACTTCATGATATCCTTTTGAGTGTTAATGATAGTATGGTATTTGATATTCCACTTAAATATCAATTGAGGGGTGGGGCAGAGAGGGAAAGGGAGAGTTTGTTTAATCTGATTGCAGGCCAATGCTCTATTTTTTCAACAGGGGATGACAAGATAACTTGGCTGCTTAACTCCGAGCAGAATTTCTCCGTTCATAGTATGTACCAACAACTTACTAAGGATGCTTATGCGGGTTTGGCAGCAGGTCTTGAAGTGGCAGATTTCCCTCACAAGGTCATCTGGCAGTCACATATACCGTCCAAAATCTGCTTATTCGTGTGGTTGGCATATCAACGGAAAATTCTCACTCAAGATGCACTTAAGCGCAGAGGTTGGAACTTGCCGAACAGGTGCCCTCTTTGCTCGTCGAATGAAGAAGATGTGAGCCACCTGTTCTTATTTTGTAGCTTCACATCTCAAGTGTGGGGAGTCATCAAGAGATTCGTCCCGATTCGTGGTCAGCACCTTCAGGGAGACATTGCTCAAGTTATCAGAAGTTGGTCGTATCAAAAACCTCAGGAGCCGAAAGAGTGGTGCACTATATCTTTACTTCATGCTGTGTTGTGGTGTGTGTGGCGAGAAAGAAACTATAGGATTTTTTAGGACAGGCGGACAACACCACACGTCGTTGCCCTTTCGATTGGAAGGCTTATTGCAGCGTGGCTCATGGCGGCTGGCAAGATCGATAGGCAGATTGGTGAAACTTGGTTAGAGAATCTTAGAGTGGCTCTTATTTCATCTGGCCTTCCTCGGTCGCAAGCGAATCTGATTGGTAGTTGCTGAGTTTGCTTTTCAACCTCTCCTTTGTAGTTGCTGTCATTGTTTTGATGGTGGCAGTTCTTGCTTTTGCAGCCTCTTGCCTACTGTTTTGGCTTTTGGCTTTCTTTTTTTTTTTTTGCCAAAAGATAATCGATGTATTGATTAGAAACAAAGGTAGTTACACCCTGGCATTAAGCCAGGCCAGCAGATTAAAGCAACGACTTGAAGTCGGGTACAACGAAAGAGCCTTTCTAGCCACCAAATGGGCTGCCCTATTACTACGCCGACCTACAAACCGGACCGAGAAACCTCCCATCGAACCCAGCACTCCCACAATCTCCTCAAGAAGCGCCCCCACTCTATTATCCCTAGTATTCGCCTGAGCAATCTTCTGAATAAGTACCTTGGCGTCCCCCTCAAAGCGCACCTCCGTAAACCCCGAGTCCCGGCACCAGAAAATCGCTTCACGAAGGGCAAGGGCCTCAGCCACCAACGGGTCATCCATGCCTGCAAAATGCAACCCTCTGGCTACCAGGATGACCCCCAAGTGGTCCTTCACCACCATCCCTCCTGCCGAATGAGACGCTGCTTTAGTAGCCCCATCCCACAAGCATATTATAGGACAGTGAGGAACCCCCATCTCCGGGGTATCAGGACCCCTCTGGGCTTGCTCCTTCGGCAGATTAATCCACTCCTGATACTGCTGGTGGTATTGCCTCATCAACGCCGGCAGCCCAAATTGCTTCCCTTCAAACACGACCCAGTTCCGGGACCTCCAAATTCGCCAAAGGACAGCCGTAACTGCCATAACCAACTGGTCTTGATGGAGGATATTAAGCAGTCTTTTCAGGAACAAGGGAAAAGTGTGCCGAGGCAACCCCTGCCCGAGATGTTCCAACCCCGCGTAGTCCCAGATGGCGCGGGCCACGGGGCAATCCAGGAACAAATGCTCCAAGGTCTCAGATTCCGCCCAGCAAACAGGGCAACGGGGATGGACTTGGACACCTCTATACTTGTTCTGCTGATTTATTTCTTACTTAATTAATGAATTACACCATTACCAAAAAAAAAAAGTTCAAGACATACAAATATATTAATCCTAAAAAAAAGCAAAATCTCCCATTGATCTACCGTTTAAATTTAAAGTTCACGTAGCAAAATGATAAAAATGAGCAACATCAAAGGTCAAATTGACCTTCTACTTCCATATCCTCATTCTGAACTTCATTCCAGCCGGCCGGGAAAGGTTATCTGGTTAGACAAATGAGCATTTCCTGCGCTCCATTCCTCGTCTCCAAGTCAATCGGAACGAATCCACCGAACTCCCTCAGAATATCTCCGGTAAAGAAACCCGATCCCGCCGTTTCACTGCTTCAGCTCTGCGTCAATCTCCGGGAGCTCCGGCAAGCTCACGCCGTTCTCGTGAAGACTTGTCTAATCAGAGAGAAGCGCGCTTTCGGCCGCCTCCTCTGGTCTTTCGCTTCGCTCCATGATCATGACTCCCGTGGTCTCGATTACGCTCAGAAGCTGTTCGATCTCGCGGAGATTCCGCGGAACTCGTTCATGTACAATGCACTGATGAGGGCGCATTCGAGCCACGGCGATCCGAGGAGGGCGTTTATGCTTTATGCGGCTATGGTTTGCGAAGAAGTTGAAGGAGATTCATCTGTGGTTCCTGATGATTTTACTTTCACTTTCGTTTTCTCTGCTTGTGCCAAGTTTAATGGGATTTCGGAAGGCAAACAGGCTCATGCGCAGATGGTGAAGTGGCCGGTTGAGTTTGGAGTTCATTCGTGGAACTCGTTGATGGATTTCTACGTGAAGATTGGGGAGCCCGGAGCAGCGGTCCTTCGATTGTTTGAGGGGATTGAGAACCCTGATGTTGTTTCTTGGAATTGCTTGGTTGATGGGTATGTGAAATCTGGACAGTTGGAAACGGCAAGGGAGCTGTTTGATGAAATGCCTGAGAGAGATGTTGTGTCTTGGACGATCATGCTTGTGGCTTATGTCAATGCTGGCTTGCTTACCGAGGCTGCTAGATTGTTTGACGAGATGCCTGAGAGAAACTTGGTCTCTTGGACTGCCCTGCTCAATGGTTATGTACACATGGGGTTCTACAGTAGGGCTTTGGACGTTTTGGAAGAGATGCAATCAGCAAGCGTCCATATGGATGCCCTCACCATAACAACTCTACTTTCTGCTTGTGCTGGATTAGGAGCTCTGGATCAAGGTTGTTGGTTACACATGCATATTGACAAACAAAGCATAAGGGTTGATTCCCATTTGTGCACTGCTTTGATTGATATGTATAGCAAATGTGGGCGAATTGACATGGCTAGGAAAGTGTTCAAAGATACAACAGACAAGACAGTATCGGTCTGGAATTCTATGTTGGGAGGATTGGGGACTCATTCCTTTGGGAAGGAAGCTGTCAAACTCTTTGAAAAGATGATGGATGATGGAATAGAGCCAAATGAGATCACCTATATTAACGTGTTGGCTGCTTGCAATCATTCAGGTTTAGTTCATGATGGTTTCCGAATTTTCAACAGATTGATGAAGGATCAGGGCCTGCAGCCAAACATTGAGCACTACGTGTGCATGGTGGATCTTCTGGGTCGCGCAGGATTTTTACAAGATGCATTGGAGGTCATTAGTAATATGCCAATGAAAGCCGATGGCGCTATCTGGAGAGCCCTGCTTAGTGCCTGTAAAATGCATGGGAAAGTAGAGCTGATAAATGAAATTGGCAGGGTTTTGATAGAATTAGAGCCCTCAAATCATATGAACTATGTGCTGCTTTCAAATGCTAATGCATTTGTTAATAGATGGAAAGTTGTCGGAAAGCTAAGGAAGGAGATGAAACTTAAAGGGTTGATGAAAGCTCCTGGATGCAGTTCAATTGCATTGAATGGTGTAGTTCATGAGTTTGTTGCAGGTGATTGTTCCATAGCTGAAAGTAGAGTGATTTCAGAGCTTTTGTATGCTATGTCTAATCACATAAAGCAAGATGGGTTCAAGGATTTCTAGTTTCCTTGCTCTAATGCCATTACACCAAACTTTTACTGAATGGCGAGACTCTTGTTTTATTGAAGAAAGTTAGATCTCTTACTGGTTCAATCAAACGGATATTGAAAACATGGTTCATTATCAAGGTGGCAACAGCTGAGACCATCTTCATCAGCCATTCTTGAGCATGGATGTGGTTACTGGATTATGAACAACTGAAGATGCATGGAAAGAGACTCGTAAGCTCCTGGATATCCTGACAGAAGACTGTAAGAGGTAAAATGTAATCCTCTGCTTTTGATCTCTAATTTTGAGTTTCTTAGGATAGCTACACAAAGACGGCTATTTGCTAGGCCAAATTTCTGCATGTCCAATCAAATGCATTGGTTCTTTTTTCCTGACAAGTAACGCTCTTCGAATTCGAAGTAACGAAAAGTTCGTATACAATATAGGAAAAAAGTACAAAGAATAGGAAAATGAAATTAATTAAACCCATAATTAATTCACAAAGGGGAAAAAAGTAGAAAAATTCGAAAATTTGTCCTGACTTTTCGGCTACAATATTTGTACAGAATATATTCCCTTCCTAACTATTTTTGTGTAAAAAAAAACTTCTTAACTATTTTCGTAAATGTGTTCCCTCTGTTAGCAAACCATGGCGGAGGAGGAGAATAAGCAAAAAGCAACAAAGGGGCGGCAGAAGATAGCCATAAGGAAAATAGAGAACAAGAGCCACCGTCAGGTCACGTTCTCTAAGCGCAGGAATGGTCTGGTCATGAAAGCCAGTGAGGTCAGCCTCAGTGGAGCTCATGTGGCAGTCATCGCCTTCTCCCCTGGCGGGAAGGTTTTCTCCTTTGGTTACCCTGACACCGACTCTGTCGTTAGACGCTACATGGGAGAAGAAAGTTGGGAGCTTCAGGATTGTCCTGTGTCAGGTTCCTCCGTTTTCCATACTCATCAGCAGCTGAGAGAAGAGCATGAGGAGTTGCTGAACAGGTTTCAGGTCAGTATTGTTAAAAAAATCAAATTTATTACTTCAGAATGTTCATATGGCAATAGAAGAGGTTTCATTAGAGGCTGAACAGTTTTCAGTGCAGTCGAGATATTGATGTCACTATAAGATATTGTGGTTTTAGTGAGTAAAAGTAATTTTGCATGACTTTACTTGGGCTAGGTGACCACTAGAACTTTTTAAATCTTTCTGGTGAATGACTCATTGAGACTACTTGAGAGCAAGATAGCCAATACGCAATAACTGTGCCAACAGGGGAAATAACAGTATTGGGAGAGCAAACAAGCATAAAAACTTGTACCCTCTTAGTTGCTATCAAAGTTCCACAAGTTCTTACATGGAAGAGATTTCAGGTCGAGAAGATGCATACTGCCAAGCCAATGGAGGAGCAGGTGAAGCGAGGGCAGAATGGAGGGGGGTTCTGGTGGGAGGAGGAGAGGGTGGAAGATATGGGTTTGGAAGAGCTGGGGGCTTTCGTGAAAGCTGTTGAGAAGCTAAGGGAGAATGTGATCGGTAAGGTGAACATGGACTAGATGATCAAAGTTTGTGTTTGAAGTTTTTCTGTTGTCTTGATTGGTATTCTTGACTTAGATGTGAATAATCTTGGAATGGAAATATGCGTAATTACAAGGGCGCAGATATACACTGCCTTGGGTTTGAAGTAACTGTTTATTGTGTTTGAATTTTGAAAGGGGAGGGGGATGAGAAGTTGCAACATCCACAGTTCTTATTGGTACTATGATGTTGCAGCGGTAGATCGGATAAGGGCTCTTGTGCAGTGAGTTCAAGTCCCTTGTTGTCCCTGATTGAGTCATAATCGTTGTGTTAAGTGATTTAGTGGAGGTTTGTTTTGGAGATTATTTTGTGCCCCAACCTGATCAATAAGGACAACTCTAACCCTTGGTAGGAGAAGTTGCGATGCTTGAATCGTCATCTCAATCTGTTCCTCATGAGGTTATTAACCAAAAATAAAAAGAAATGGAGGAAAACAACTATAATCCACCCATCGACTCAATTAACCAAAAGAACTGCAAACGAAAGAAGGTAGTATAGTGATTAGTGACTGCCACAAGTTAGAACGAAAACGGGGACAGAAGCTGGAAATTGGAATCTGGTGAGGATTAAAATGATGAATTTCAATGCGACATCACGTAATCAGAGATGAAGAGCATATTCTAACTTCCTTTTGCAGATCCCAGAGTGATCCAAAATTGCAAATCCCAACATTAACACCTCGAGCCATAAGACGTTCAGATAGATTGATGCATACATGTCACTCATTATGAAGAACCCTCACTGCAGTTCTTTAGCGTTCTCGTCTTTGTATATCATCTAGATTAACTACCATGAAAGCCAATGTGCAAAAACATATGGTTCAGATTCAACCATAGAGTGCACGCCAAGGCTCCTTGCTATCTTTCGACATCTCCATTGGATTCCAAGAAACCTTCTCCTTCAAGAAACACAACCCTGTGATGTTTGCCAATAGATCCCCAATCTGGTAGAGTGCCTGCCAAGTAAAGTTGGTATATTAGTAGCGACATTAGAGATATGGTTCTTGCTGGTTCAATGTCAGCCAAATACCTGAAGTTCATCCTCAGACGCTTGGTGGCCAAAGACAACAGAAGTGGGAAGTTTCAACACGCGAGCCAGGTGAATGAAGCAGGCCAAAGGCTCGTATTGGATGTGGAAAGACGCTGGCGCCATTTCTGTTCTGCTGGTGATCTTTGATGAATTGGTTCCGGGACCGATTAGAATGCTGTAGAGCTTAACCTGACCTTTGTTTGGAGGAAGGGCTTTCGGCTCCCACTTTAGCTTCGATGCTCCAGTGAATGGAACAATAAATGCGGGTAGAGATGCAGATGCTCCCTTTGTTATGTTTGCTAGCACTTCGTTTAGGGCGCAGGCCAAGATTGGCGGCTCATACTTCTCCAGAAGTAACAAGGATACCTTCACATATTATGGAAATTCTGAAAATTTAGAAACCAAAAGCTTGACCAACAGAACAGTATTATTGTGTTGGCGAGTCAAGGTGATTCATTTCGAGTAACTAGTGTCTCAAATGATCCCCACATTATTGAACCACTCATTCTTTACAGACACTAATCCAGAGCGATTAGGTTTACTTTCTATTTATACTGGAAGTGAATCAATCAGCTTCTTGTCTTCCTACCATTCAAAATATACGCAAAACATACGTGCTCACTAGAACTTTGAGCAGAATCTTTGGCGTTCTAAGTTCCTAAGTTCAATACTGAAAGTGAATCAATCAGCTTCTTGTCTTCCTACCGTTCAAAATATACGCAAACCATATGTGCTCAATAGAAATTTGAGCAGAATCTATGGCGTTCTAAGTTCCTAAGTTCAATACTTCACTAATTCCTCAAATGAAAAGTCACTGGAGATTCATCAATGGAGACAACCAGAGGGAAACCTTTTTGTCCATTCCGTGCCTACTAGCTCCCAAATCGAAGAGTTTCACTGTTCTCTGAACCCTAATTCCCTCAACATTGCCACATTTCTCAAAAATTAGGACACAACAAATCGAAACCCCTAATTCAGACAGGACGGGTACCTCATAATTGCCCTGATTGTCGACGAAATGAACAAAATCGCCACAAGCTTTCTGACCCTTTACTCCATAACCATCCAGCGGAAGCTCGAGCGACTCTTCTCTGCCAAAAACAAAACGGAGAAGCAGCCCATTTACCGTAACCGCGGCGACGGCGAAAAGCAGAAATCGAGCGATATGAAAAAATTGGACTTACAGTCTTCTGAATCCCGAGCTAGGGTTGGAATTCAGACCTTCTGAGATTGCTGCGGCGAACCCATCTTTGTCCTTGAACAGGAGAACTATTTGCGATGCCACTTTCATCGTTCTTCTTCTTCTTCTCCTCGCTAGCCAGGAAAATGTGATCGCGGTCGCGGGAGAGATGACAGAGAAGCCACGAACACTGGAGGGGAAGGGAGATGATATTCTGGGCCTTTTCCTTCTGTATGGGCTTGGGCTTGGGCTTAGTGATACGTTTGGTATAGTTTAGCAACGTAGAGCTTTTGGGCTTTGTGATTAGTTTGGTCTCTAGCATCTTACGGTGGAACCGTGGAAGGTGCCGCCGTTAGATCTCGAATTTCCCCCTCCGGAGGTCGCCGATCGGAGCCGTCTCTGCGGCGACTGCAAGAGAATAAGAAGAGCTCGAGCGAGCGAGCGAGCGAGCTATCAAGGAGTCGTACGAAATGCAAAAAGCGGCGCAATCGTGGTTCAGCGGAGGTCCGAGCAACAGCAGCAGCTTCGGCGATGGACTGGATAAGAAGCAGCCGTCCTTGCTCGCTGACTGGAATGCCTACGCCGCAGCTCAAAACGACGCGGACGCCGATCCCGATCTCGGTTTCGATATCGAATCCGCCGTCCGTTCCACCAGCGACAAGGTCTCCGGCACTTTCAGCGTGTAAGAAAATTTCTCGGCGAATTCTTTCTCTCGCTGGCGATTGTTCGTTTCATTTGCTCTAGGTTTTTCATCTCGAATTGCGTCTTTCTGCTTTGATCACTCTGTCTTTGAATCTCGGACTCGTTATCGAAATTCCGCTCTCTGTTATCAAATACTCAATAGATAGCTTACACGAATTTTCACTTAGGAAGAATTGTTGCCGATTTGTTCGAGTGGCGACGTTTTTCACTTTGTCTGTTCTATGTTGCTTCCATTCTGGACTTCTGAACTAGGAATCCTTTATTGTGTTAGTTCTAGCTAAGAATTGTATGCTTCTGGACCACTAACTTCATTGCTGTTGATGGTATACTAGTCTGCCAGTGTTGTAGAACAGTTGGTTTTGCTATCTCATGTGCAGTCTTGAGCAAAGCAATCCACTACATGTTAGTTGCACTTTCGTTTCAGAATTCGCGCTTCATTGCTCAATTCTGATATAGGAATTCCATGTTGTGTTGGTTCTGGTTCAGAACTAGGATTTGTGTATTGCCATCCTTTCGTGATGCCATTCCTGGTATACTGGGCTACTAGTATTAAAGAACACTTTCTGTTTTCATCTCATGTGCGATCTCGAACAAAGTGATCGATGTCAAGTTAGCTATAGTGGCGCTTTTAGTATTATAAACATAGTATCTTCAGCTGGAATTAGGGAGCCGTGATTTTTGCATTTACTTTGTTCTTTCATAGGTTCATTCTAGTAATATCTAGCAATTGATATTCGTACTAACTTCTGTATTTCCATTTCAGGGTATCAAAGGGAGTAAGGGGTCTGCCGGGAAGTTTCAAGTCATCTACTAGCAATGTCCCCTCTGGGAAGTCTTTCATGTACTTCGGCGTACTTCTTGCCTCTGGAGTGTTCTTCGTCTTTCTAGCATTCACAATGTTCCTCCCCGTGATGGTGTTGGTTCCCCAAAAATTCGCAATCTGCTTCACCATTGGCTGTTCTTTCATAGTTGCTTCATTTTTCGCTCTCAGAGGCCCCAAGGAGCAGCTTCTACATATGTTCTCCAAGGAGGTACTTTTCACTAATATCCTCCTATGTAGAAATCAAATAACTCTAAATGACGAATTTTACTGACATTTTGCTTCATTATCTTATCTACAGAGGCTTCCCTTGACTTTGGGATTCATGGGAACCATGGTTGGAACAGTCTATGTATCCATGGTGCTTCACAGTTACATTCTTTCAGTCGTCTTCTCGGTTCTACAGGTACCCTTTGACCCAATCCTCTTCTACTTTGATTTTTGCCGTTAATTGTGAAGCTTCCTCCGTGGATATCGGATGGATACAGCTCTCACACTCTCTTCCTTCCCTCCACTCATGTCAGGTTATTGCGCTATCATACTACGTCATTTCGTACTTCCCCGGAGGATCTACAGGAATGAAGTTCATTTCTTCAACCCTTACTTCTTCTGTATTGAGATGTTTTGGAAGGTAATGCTCCATTTGCTTTTGCCTTTCTCTGTACAAGGTTTTTGTGGTGTTAACATTTAACAGAATGCTGATATTGTAAGGAAGCCGACCGTTCTATGAGCAATGTGATATGAGTTTGTTGTGCTACTTTTCTCTTTCTATACATCGCTTTCTTCCCTGAAAACAACTAGCTATAGGATGAAACAGACAGAAAATTCACTTCTAGGTAATCTAATCAGGCAGCCAAACCACTACAAAACAGTGTGAAAGTTAGACCTGGCAATCGGGTCGGGTTGAGTAATTTCGGGTTAGAAATCTCGGGTTACGGGTCTTCACGGGTCGAGTCATGATGGGTTTGCTGATTTTGGGTCAAATATTGACCCAACCCATCGGGTTTCGGGTCAGGTTTCGGGTCTTTTCGGGTCATGAGCGTTCTCAGAAACAATATCAAACATGCTTCATAAATTTTTAAAGAACACAAAGTTTTATGTATGTGCGATATTAGTTTGCCTAGTACATGTCAATTAACAAATGCTTAACTCCTTCCATGCTAATGAAAAGAAATACAAATTGCACAAATTGTCAAAAAACAATGACGAAAGTAATACTACTACTATAAACAAATGATGTTTGATTATCTTAACACTCCAAAGTTGTCCTTCAAATCCTAATAATTTTTTTTAAACATCTCACCAAAGTATGAGTGATTTTATCATTTTGAGAGTGACATATGCAATGAAACGGGTCTAGCGGGTCGACCCACAAACCAACCCAACCCGACCCAAAAACTACGTGTTAATCGGGTTCGGGTCATTCGGGTTACAAAAACCTCAACCCATTCTCTATTTTTCGGGCGGGTTTGGGTCAGGTCAATAGGTCGGGTCCTCATTTGCCAGGTCTAGACGGAAAGGCACATGACGTCTTTCCTAGCAGTTCGATTTGGACTAGTATGAACTTTCCTAGTCCTTCTCTTTCATGAGGCAAAACACATACCTTCTGATTAGGGCTTGTAGCTGCGCTGTTCTGACATGGTCACCATTCAGGAAATCCTTCTTCCTCCCAATCTTCCGTTCTTATTCTTTTTCACCATTACCAGCTTCATCAAGCTCATCTCCTCGTTCTCATTTAGCTGAAGCTTTCTATAGTAGCTGTTATGATCTACAATGGTAGTATGAACCAGTCGAAAACTTTGTCCCTCGGCCCGTTTGCAGTAGTCAACTCGACGACATCAGCTGCAACAAGCGCACTTTGTATACTCGTCACAATATCTAGCTAATTAACACATTCATGTTAATTAGACATCTCCGCTGTACAATCCCAAGAAGAAGCTGGAAACTGCAGTTCGTACAACTGACGCCACGAAAGCTAAAGGCCACAAAAGAATCGCGAGACCTGCAAATCGAACACAAATAGAGGTGGCAATTTCAATCCAATCCATCAATCCAATCCATCAATCCCAAGAAGAAGCTGGAAACTACAGTTCCTACAGCTGACGCCACGACAGCTAAAGGCCACAAAAGAATCGCGAGACCTGCAAATCGAACACAAATAGAGGTGGCAATTTCAATCCAATCCATCAATCCAATCCATCAATCCATTAAAAATAGAGGGCTACTATTTGCCGCCCGTGTAATTACTATTTGCCGCCCGTAAAAAACACTTAAAAGACAATTTTGCCCTCCAAAATTTTCTTTATATTCTATTCGCTAAAATGGTTTTTTAAACACCATACACACTACCCGAGTCCCGACCACCAACCCCCCACAAACACCACAGCCAGATTCACGGCCACCGGACGGCAGCCAAACTCGCCGGCCACCGGACCAATCTCGTCAGGATAATTCGCGGGGCACTGGACGGCAGCCGTACCCCGTCGTCGGACCAGCGAAGCAGGTAAACCTCTCACTGATCCTGGAATTTTTTGTCGGTCCGCTCGCCGGCGTCGGACCGCGTCCGCTCGCCGTCGTCAGACCGCGTCCGCTCGCCGGCATCGATCGGGGTCCGACGCCGGCGAGCGGACGGGGTCCGACGCCCGGTTGCATAGTAGTGTCGTATTTTTTTCTATTTTATTTCTAGAGCTAATAATTTATATTTAATTTATTGCTTTTATTTCTATTTTACATAGTTAAATTCCTATGTAGTTTGAATTAAGCAATTGTATTTTGTTGTAGCGCTAATTAGTTTCTTACTGTCAAATTATCGTTATTTTGTAGAGTTAATTAAATTATTGCATGTAGTTTAATTTTGTAGAGTCAATTGAAGCACAATTAGTTTAATTAAGCGATTGTGTTTTGTTGTAGCGCTAATTAGTTTATTGTGTTTAGATATAATTCGTAGAGCTAAAGATGTTTAATAATTTATATTAAAATAGTTATCTTATCGTCAAATTATCATTATTTTTTAGAGTTAAATTAAATTATTGCATTTAGTTTAATTTTGTAGAGTCAATTGAAGCACAATTAGTTTAATTAAGTGATTGTGTTTTGTTGTAGCGCAAATTAGTTTATTGTGTTTAGATTTAATTCGTAGAGCTAATTTGGTTTAATAATTTATATTTAAATTATCTGTATTTTTTAGACTAAATTAAATTATTGCATTTAGTTTAATTTTGTAGAATCATATAATTTGTACATTTCTAACGAGTTGTAAAATCATAATTGCAGGTGGACATGGCTGACAATGTTGAACTAATTGGTGATTACACAGACAATTTTCTCAATGGCGTCCGATATGCCAATTTCGAAGATGCTGTAACAGTGACCAAAAACATCGCGATGTCTCTTGGTTTCTTTCTAACTAAGGGATCGATGAAGCCACGTGAGTTGATAAACAAAAGAGTATTGGGTATCTGTTATATGTATTGCGACAGATGCAGTAGGGAGAGGAAGTCATACAAGCCGGATCCTTCCAAGGAGAGTCGTGGCAATACAAGTTCAAAAGGAGCGTGATGCATGTTCAGGATTAAAATCAAAGAACTACTGGTTAATCCAGATGCTCTTGATGGACCTTCATTCTGGGAGATACAAGGAGTCGTGGAGCAAGGAACCGGTTTAAGGAGAGGGTATCACAATCATGAGAAGATGCTTTATCCCGAGGGCCACAGTCAAATGAATAAATTGAGTCAGGAGGATAAAGAATCTCTTAGGGAGATGAGAGATGCTGGGGTACCTTCGTCGCAACAGAAGCAGACAATAAAAAAGCAGAAGGGTGATAAAGGGCATCACACCATAAGGCAGATGTATAACCTCGGGTCCAAGTCTAGGAAAGACGAGATGGGCGAGATGAATGCAGTGCAGTATGCGTTGCTAGAAGCTGAACGTGAGAATTATCATACAGAGGTTATGAAGGACGATGACGACGTGCTGACACATCTTTTTTTGCCCATCCAACTTCCATCCAGATGTTGAAGGCTTGGCCGTACGTGATTTTGATCGACTCAACGTATAAGACCAATGCATATAAATGGCCGTGGGTGGAGGTCGTAGGTGCTACTCCAGTTGGAAAGAATTTCAACATCTGTTGTGCTCTCATGAAGGATGAGACAAAAGAGTCGTATCTGTGGCTGTTGCAGTGCATACAACAATTGCTCCATCCTCGCGTGCCCTCTGTCATCGTCACCGACCACGAAGGTGGACTACTTGCTACGGTTCCTGTGGTCTTCCCCCGCACCCCGCATTTGCTATGTGTTTGGCACATCAACACCAATGTGCAGAAGAAGTGTTTGGAAATATTTGGGAAGGACAGGATGGATTTGGTCAACGAGGCGTACGACCAATATTGGTGTCCTATGCTTTATTCTTGGTCAGAGCAAGGTATGTTGGCCGCGTTTGGCCGCTTTAGGACAAGATGGGGCAATCAAGAACCACGTATGTTGCAATACATACAGGGAGTGTGGTGGCAACATCGAGAAAAGTGGGCTGTTTGTCATACATAAAATGTGTTTCATCTAGGAAATACGAGCACAAACAGGGTTGAGTCGTCACATTCCGCTTTGAAGACTTTCCTCCACAACTCGCGGGGATCTATGGACACTGTATGGAAAGGAAACCACCGCTACATTACTAACCAACTCGGGGAGGTTAGGATGATGTTGGAAAACTCTAGACAGAAAACCCTTTCAGCATCCGGTGGTACACCATTCACATTCTTGAGAAGGAAGGTCAGCATGCAGGCAATTATATTAATGAAGGAGGTTGAAGAAGAATTGGCTGCCCGCTTGGAAAAAAATGAGAACTCCCGATGTGCATGTCATTTCTCTGTGACACACGGTTTGAGGTGTGGATGTCAAGTTATGGATGGCAGAGCGCGAGACATAGAGATATATCCCGGTGATATTCATATATATTGGCGGACACTGTCATACGAGCATCCACCCAATGCTCAGGAGTACGTTCCCCAGGAGGAGGAGGCTAGATCTCACCTTCGGGAGTTGGTTGATGAGGCTGTACGCAGAGGACCAGAGGCAACGAAAAAAGCAGCAAAGAACGCGTTTCGCGGTCTCCACCCGGTGGAGGACAACATTCACGAGCCAGAAGTGAACGAATTTAGAAAGGGGCACCCAGCCAAAAAATCAACTGGAAGAACGAAACGGTGGTGGGAAAAGATACCGCGAGGCAATAAGAAAAGCATGAAAAATAAGTCGGGAAGCACAACATCGGGGTCTACAAAGTCGACCAGTACCAAGTCCACGGGAACTCAGATAGACGAGTACCCGTCAGACGACCATGCAGCGGAGGAGTGTGATGATCCAGAAGATAACAACAGATACAACTGTCCTGACACAGGTACAATTTAATTTTTTCATAAGTGTAGTTATTTATATTAATATTTTACATCGCATTTGTGCTGATTACCTATTTCCTTCACAGATATCCCTGGACCCAGCAGCCCCATTCTGATTACGCACACATGGAACACCTTCCTGTCTTCATTCGGCCGCTTGTCATTGCCATCCACGACCCGGTGCCAGACGGTTATTGTGGGTTTCGTGCACTTAGTTTTGCACTATATGGTAGTCAAGAAGGGTTCACAGGGGTGAGGGCACGACTTGCTGAAGAAATGCGTGAGCACGATTGGCGATACGCACCCATCTACGGTCCCGGCATCAATGATGCAATCAGACGCATTGACATCACTACTACAGCACCAACGACTTAACATCATTGGATGATGGGTGTGGATCTATTCGTATTTGCCACACTATTTAATTTG